TAATCATAACATGGATTTCAAGTGCACATTTATTCTTACAAGCAATTTTATCCCATAGTAGAATATATCGGTCCTAAGAATGGACTTTGTGTAGTGAAACATGCCAATTAGTACAAAGTGTATCGCCTGTAGTAATAACATCTGTCCAATTCCGTTCTGATCTGACTCTCGTTGCGTCGTAGTGCTGCAGATTCAACTGTTGTGGCCATGTAACTCAATTTTTGCATAGCCACATGTAAGCTTATGGGACTATGACCAGCCACATGCACAGAAGTACTGCGTTGCATGTACGATGATCTTCCTGCCCCTGCGGACATGCATATGATATGCCACACTTGATTTATCATGTGTAAGAAATATCGGAAATAAGAATAGAAAGTCGTTTTTCAAACACCCACGCTATAACCGATACCTACTGTACATGCTTTGAACATACTTATGACTGACTTCCTGTGCTGGAAGGCATGATTGTACATGTACAAGTACCCTGTGGAATAAAGTATGCTTTATCTCTGCGTGTGGTGAAATAGTCAGCTGCTTCCTTCATGCCAGTACACTGTATTCTGATATGATAACTGTACTGTACACAATGCTGTAGTACATGTACATGTACATGACTCTATAATTATGACTATTCGCATTGATACAATAGAGTGCACGATGTGCATGATACTCCATGTACATGTATGTTTTACTAATAGCAGTGCCAGTCGACACGAACACATACATAGTATGTACCCCTCAACAAATTTGGAGCTTCTGTGGAAGAAAATAACATGAAAAACACGCTGTTGCCATACTGTTGCTATGCGGTTGCTATGGCAACCCATGGGAAACTTTCAAATGCCAATTCCACACCGTTCCATCCCGATTCCAGGGGTGAAAAATATATCAGGGGACTCTACACGACTAGGGCTACAAGATGAAGTACATCTTTTGTTGTGCGCTCTCAGTGGAAACGAAACTTCACATTTCTCAACCCTGGCCCCCGTACTAATAAGGATGGTTGCAAGGATTGCACTGAAGGTGTTGGTGATCCCCAAGGTGAAGGAATTTGACATCGTTCGTGGAGATTACCACTTGACGCTCGAAATGAAGTTTGAATTTTCATTCTCCCCACGTGTGTCGTGTGATCGCGATTCTAATTCTGGACGCTGTTCTTTTTTCGTCAGGCAACCAAAATTTGCCGCAGTCTGACCAGGCCCTAAGAGGTCAACATGGAAAAGAGAAAACAATACTTCTTCTATTCATTACTTGATTTCTTTTGTACTTCAGTAAAAATATTATTTCATTGCTAAATTAGTTTGAGTTACCTTTGAAAATTATCATGTTCAACTGTCTTCGTAATCATCATACTCGTTCATCCGATGTCACCCTGGGCCTAATAATAATAATTCGCGGGATTCGCGTTGGCATCGCTTGAATGTTCAGAAACACACAAACTAGCCTTCGCTTCCGCAGGCCACCACTATGCCTATGCCTTGCACACCTTAGTGGCGAATGCAGACCTCACAAGTGAGTCAGGGGAGAGTAGGTGAGTCTCTCAACCAATCGGGCGTGTAACGGCCCATAACCCTGTAAACTGCATCCTTGTTACCCTCACTCCGAGCTGTGAGTACCCAGTTGACCGTGGGTGTCGGCGCAGTTCACCACGCATAAAAAGTCTTTACTCACGTAAAAAGTCTTTACACGCTTCCTGCTACCAGCGCGGGTCTCGAACTCGGGACCTCATGATTCGCAGGCAGGCCTGCAAACCAATCGGCCATATGCGTTGGTCCTCACCCTGCGAATAATCAGCTCATCTCTCCCTAGCTCCACGTCTCCTTCCATCATGACCGAACATCATCTATACATCAATTTAGAGCAATATCCGTAGCCTGCAGTCATATCATGGCTGCTAAAATCCAGACTGGCCATGACTTCGTATAAACATGCATAATGTACATGTAATGTACAATCATGTACATGTACACGGAGTTTTGCGGACTACCCGCCACTATATGTACATGTATCTCGTCCGCCCCGGGATACCTGATGAAGGCTGATTCACTCGCATCTTCATGATGTACTGTGTCAGTGTGAGAAAGAACTTTGAAGAAGACGAGTTCGAGCATACAATAATGCATTGCCATGATTTCTACCCTGCTTTTCATTGAAAACACTATCTGCATGACCTCCGAACCCTTTGCCATGCAGACCACCAGCACTGATCAGGTGCATTGTACACAATTGTATAGCCTACATACTACAACTGTGGTATAATCGTGTAGTTATGCTCCTACCTCCGAGAGGATGCCAAATTATGCTCCAAATTTTCAACCATCAAATTATGCCAATAATTATGCCGGCATAATCCGCCGGTGCCTAGCTGAGTGGTGTTCTGTGGAGGAGACGTCGCTGTCTCAGTATTCAACGCCGGACCCTGTATTTCAAGTCTGTGGTCATGCTCGATCATAAGTTCCTGTATGGCTCCAGTGCCTTCTCAGCATTGTGGGGGGGGGGGGTAAGCACCTGGATCGTGTCCAAGTACTGCGGCTCTGGTGGTTTGAGGGATGTACGGGTGCTCGCCGTGCACCCCTGCCGGCAATCTGCTAGAGGAGCTTGGTATCTACTGTGTCCGGGAGATTTTCATCCAGAAGCTGATCTTCCTAGGCTGGAGCTGCTGCGCGCATACACACAAACACACATGGACACACACACACATGCACACACAGTGACACAAACATACACATAGCCAACTTCTCTGTGTTTGGTGGTCATCTGTTTTCTGATGTGCAAGCTCACCTCTGATGCCGATTACTTCTTTGCTTAGACCCGGTCTGCTATTAGACCAGTCTGCTCTTCCTTCACTCGCTTGTAAATCCTACTTGGAGCAGTAAGGTTGTGTCACTGCTCCTACTGATGTCATTGTTGTGAAAGCAATATCATCGCCATTGGTGGTAATTTTCCACCGTGCATGAATCATTAACAATCATCATCTATGTGTCACGGCCTAACCATCCTCGTAACTCCCCTCATCGTGACTAGTGCTGTACCGTTGAAACCTACTTTGCTTCAGTGTATATTCGCTCCAAAGCTCTTGTTTTGTTGCATAGTGATCTGATGCAGTGTGCTATAGCCTATCGGGTAATATGGATAAGATTAGTACAGTCGGCATCGCCTATCGAGTGACCAGGTACATGTATAAGGATACCAGTACATGTATACCGGCTTAACGATATCGGAACACAAATAGCACTAACAAGTTATGTGTGCAATATTCCTTTCTAAGCTCACGCTGTGCGGTGCAGATAGGTCATGTGTCGTTGCCAACTTGCCGCATGTGCATGTGCAGCAGGAAGGCACCACATGTCGACTACTACTTATACTGTACAGCATTGTGTGCTTACATGCATCTACGGCCTTTTGGATGCAATTGAGTCTCACATACATGTACATGAAATATTGCGTGTAGTGCGGCATCAGGTGTTAACATACAGTGGCTAAATATTTTTCTCGCAATAATGACCGTATTCACCACAAGTGTGTTTATGTCCAGAGCCAACTCAAATCCTGTATTATTTATGACCATGACAACAAGACTTCCGGGCTGAAATTCTTCTATGACAGGCATGAACACTTGCCTTACAATTGTTCGTGATTGTACGAAATACATATTCGCTGTTGAATCAATTTTGCACCATTTACATTGTAGTGCCACTAGTGGTATCACCTGCATGCGTATTGAGTCGAACAAGGTTACCTCTGTATAATTATGCTTATCGTGGCTATCAAGAGCTTCGATGCAAATTCCCAGCTGACGAATGGTGTCCAGCTTGTGTTCAGCTCAGCTGGCACTCACAACTCATAATAATTGCGTTCTAGACGCCAGATGAGATGTTTCAGCTACAATGTAGACACAACGTCCGTGTTCAAGAAAGCCGTCACTTCATCTTCTGTCCATCCTCAAAAGCACGTTCAAGCAAATACGTCTGAAACACAGTAGCGACAATCCGACAGCGGCGACATGCCATCTTCTCCGAATGAGCTTCTACCGTTCTAATTCAGATTCCCCCAAAAATGTCAAAATAAATAAAAGATTTCCACCAAGCTCGCTAGAATCTTGCGAACAGTCAACATGCAGGCATTTCAAGTGTTCGAGCGTGCGTAGATTCTGCTCAGCGGCTCAAGAACATTCGCCAAGCGAAAAAAAGTCGATGAGAAAGATGTAATGGTGGACGAAATTACGAAAATCGGAAGAAGGTATTCGACCCAGTTCGACTATCCTGGACTGGATTGGCAACGTCCAACAATCGGATTCGCATTCTATGGGGTCTTATGAGCTAGTGTGCCAAAGGGCGTTTAGTTGGAGCTTCAGTGCATCACCTTCGCCGAAAGAGGCCCTTTCTGAGATTTGGCCGATGGACTATTCATGTTCGGAGCATAGTATTAGTACAGACTGTCAGTGCGCACCTGCGATTTTATTTAGGGCCTAAATAGCACATCTAAAGTGCGCACTATACTCCGGAAAATACGGTATGTGCATGCTGTGTCATGATTTTCACTTCACAACCGGTTTGAAAAGCAGTTTTGGGTGACACATGAACATGTCGACATGTCAGGCTACATGTACTGTAGTCCTGCACGTGCAGGGTATCCGGTAGACCATGCATGGTAGAGCTGGGCTATCGCTAGCGCGCGCGAACTCTCGATCTCGAGATCTCTTCTCAGTCTCTGTGCACGTAGATCTACGTGCAGTCTCCAAGCTGCTAGTGCTCCTGACACTGTACACTACATGATTGTATACAGACAGATTACAGTTTGTCCTTTTACTTTTAGGGGCCTCGAAGATTCTTCGATAGGCAAAGACAAAGTCGTCACATGTGACATGACCAGCGCCTATGCCTATGGCCCAGTACTACATGTCATGTACTAGTACTTGAAGTAGTTCGTTAGTTCCGATGCCATCAATCTAGCATCATGACGATCATTGAAACATTTCCTGACGACTTTAGATGCCATCAATCTAGCATCATGACGATCATTGAAACATTTCCTGACGACTTTAGTATTGATACTATTATTATGATGTATCCTAGCCTAGGGCTGAGCGGTATAAAACAGGGAGGGCAGAACAATTTCGGCTATTATTAAAAAAATAGCAGCTAACTCTGCTAGCATCGGAACAGTAGCTGATCGTGAAGATGGCCAAGGAGTTATCTCTAAAGGACATTAACAACGCCAAGGGAGAGTTTGTGCGAGTGGCGACATCGTTTCACAATTTCATTCGTGCTGATCCTCAGGCTGAGTTTCCTGCCGAGGCGGGACGTTATCACCTGTACCTTTCCTTGGCCTGCCCATGGGCGTCCAGAACATACTTTCTTTTGAAAGCCAAAGGCCTGGAGAAGGTGATCAGCAAGAGTGTGGTCCACTGGAGAATGTCTGGAGACCGGGGCTGGGAATTTATTCCTGGAAAGTACCGCTGTGATGCGGACACTGTGTTGGGAAAAGAGACGATGCGAGAAATTTATCAAACGTCTGATCCCGGGTACTCGGGTCGCGTGACCGTCCCTGTGTTGTTTGATAAGAAGACGAAGAAGATCGTCAACAACGAATCGTCCGAGATCATCCGCATGCTAAACACGGAGTTTAATGAGTTTTGTGAGACGAGCGAGCAGAGAAAGCTGGATCTGTACCCCGAAGAGCTGCGCAGCACCATTGAGAAATGGAACGATTTCTGCTATCCAAACGTGAACAACGGAGTGTACAAGAGTGGGTTTGCCACGTCTCAAGAAGCATACGATGCAGCAGTGGCACAGCTGTTTGATGCGTTGGACACACTGGAGGACCACTTGAGTAAGAACAGATACTTGGCTGGCAGTACGTTTACGGAGGCCGACATTCGTCTGTTTGTCACGCTCGTGCGCTTCGATATGGTCTACGTGGGTCACTTCAAATGCAACAAGCGTCGCATTGTCGATTATCCAAACCTTTGGGCATACACACGTGAGCTGTATCAAATGCCTGGCGTGGACGAGACGGTGGATCGGTTTCACATCGAGCATCACTATCAGGAGTCGCATCCTTCCGTCAACCCACACGGAATTGTGGCCATTGGCCCACAGCTAGACTTCACAATCTCGCATGGACGCGATGCCCAGTCATGATCAGCGTAATGCCGCTGCATGTAATGACTGATAAAGGAGCCTCCACGAGTAAGAAAGAAATGCGAACAGTTGGAAGACAGATCGGTAGAGAAGTTGCCAGCACCATGCCAAAATAGTACTTGGAAACCTCTGTTCAGCTAACATCCGATTTTCTTGTGATTATGCCGCTTGTTCCATGTTGGTCTTTCACGTTGATTTTGGTGCTTAAGATGCTAAGCCTCTATCCAACTAACCAGGCTTACAGTTTTATTGTGGAGGCATACCTGGTGATAGTTAGGATGGTCATGTTGATGCGCTTCACTCCGGCATATCCTGGGTTTATGGACATGTTTAATTCATTAGACATTCACGTACTGCACAGGACTTTGTGTTTGTACTAGTACAGTACTAGTAGTAGTAGTAGTAGTAGTACAGCGTTCATACACGTACACGTAGGTTCACAGCCATAGTACACGTTGAGTTCCAGATTGAAATCAAATATGCTGATCACCTTCTCCTATTGCTGTTCATTGTGGTGACGCCGTAGTGTGATGTACTATCATCGCTAAGTAAGGGGTTCCTTTTCTTGATTCAAGACCACTGGAGTGTGCGGGCCCAGTATGTGTTTGTCGTATTTCTGTGTTTGTGTGCGTGTATATGTGTGTGTATGCGCGCATGTGTGTGTGTGTGTGTGTGTCTGTACATGTGTGTGTGTGTGCGCGCGCACGCCTGTGTTTGCACGAGCAAGGCGTTGAAATGGAAACAAGCAGGTCGGATCTCGGCATGCAACATTTGGACGTGATGCATGTTGCAGGATTGTGAGCCGAAATCCTAAAAAGATGTTCAGTGACTGAGTAGCTGCACTTTAACCACCCAGATATCTGTACTTCGTTAAATCTGGGTGTGGCTTATACTGCACTGCGGCTTTAATATACTCTGAAGAATGCGATGCTTCCTTTTCAAAATAATATTGTTCTCTTTGCTCATTTGGGGAATTGTGGCTCCATACGCTACGTGGGAGGTAGCCCTTGGCGGATTATGCTGGCGTAATTTCTGGCATAAAAGGACTTCTGAGACCAGACGGTCGGCATAACCTTACGATGCTGGCTGAAGATTAATGCTCCAGGCATATTTAGGCATGTTACAGGAAATAACCTGGTGAATGTTACGCCCCTTATAAGCCGTGCTGTCATGGTGCCAGAGTCGTTGTATCGTTGCTAAGAGCAACAAGAGTGCAAGGGTACAGTATACATGCACTAGCATTGTCATGCTTGGTATAATTATTTGGGCATAATGGAAAGCATAATTCAGCAATTTACCGAGCATAATACGCCAAGGGCTAGTGCCAGTAGTGGGAGCTCGCGCTTTTCCTGCAGACTTGAATTCTCACTTGACTGACTCACGGCTGCCATCCAGAGCACATGAGAAGTCCATCGAACCTTCGACTCGGCAAACCTGGAAGAATGCACCACTCCTTCCTCAATACGCAGTGTTTTGGGGAATTCACACCTCATCAGTTGAGCTTGAGTAGGCTGAGGAAGATTGTGCCTGAAAAGCACCACTTACTTGTAAAGTGGTTAGTGCTCTCCAGACCAAACCATCACCAGGGATGCTAACTTACAGAGACGCTCCGTTTCCAGCGCGACAACAGATCGTGAAAACCAGATAGCGGCGTGAGTCAGTGTCGCTCATGGATGACCTGAATAAACGCTGAGGGCCGTGGGCCAATCACAACGTTGTTTCCTTCAAACCATCTACATGTACGTCATGTAGTTCGCCAGCCCGCGCTGGGGACAACGTGAAGAAGAGGTTGGTCATTTTGGTCATTTGGTAAGTAATTAGTTGTAGTTGTCAACATTACCCACTGAGATCAGAAAAACCTGCTACCATGTAGACCTCTACTCTAGACTAGAGTCCAGTAGGCAGTAGACCCAGGTGCTCGAAGTCCGTACACTTTTACAGTGTGTGTTTGCCGAGCTGAAACTCACACTAGCAATGATCACTTGCCAGAATCCTGCTCGTGGATGGAAGGTATCTTGTCCTAGTTTGTTCTGAGGCCAGTCTCGATTGAACCAGGCCATCTTTCGATCCGATCTGTTTCTCTGGAGTTCGCTGATTTTTCATATCAAATTTTGGTGTCGCAGAGGGTACTCTAAGTCCGTACTGATCAGAGGTGACTCGAAATACGCACATATTCCGCTAATTGCTAACTAGCAATCCATCGGTTACGACGAAAGCACCGAAGGGATATGTTTGGCATGTGCCTCCACCAGTATTTCTTGCAAAAGCGTAGTTTGTTGCCGAAATGCAAGCTGTTTTAGTCGGCTCAGAGAAGAAGCAGCTGCGCTGTGAAAACCGCGGGAAAACAGTGGTGGAGATGCCAGGAGTGTCCACCTTTCTGCAAGGATTGGTGGTTCTCTGTAAATTCTTCTCCTCTGGCCATTGTCAGCTCTAAGCTGGCTCTTGATGATTGAGTGAAGGTCCGTTTGACGCTGTGTCCGTTCGAAATCGGTCTTGGCAAAGTTGATTTTTGCATGAAATGTAACCCAATTTGTATTTCGTATGGACACTCGAAAACCCACTCGCGTGGTATGGGACTTCTGCTTATCGTAGATCCCTGAAAATTGGTACGCGAGGAGAACATACCACACTGTCCTCTCCATAAAATATTTGAGTCGAATACAATAACAGAACATGAAATTATGGGCGTACGAACTTAGGATACCATGTACGGACTTCGAGCACCTGGGTCTACCAGTCCACTGCCATTGGCATGCGGGGACAGGATAGCTAGTATGGCTAGTGACAGTTTGATGTCCGAAACCGCACGTGATCATGATCATAGTGAGATCACCATGAGTGGCATGATCATGCACCAGTCACGTCACGTGACAACAACAGATCCTCGATCGACTCGACGTGACTCTTTCGAATGCCAGCCTCGACCGCAGAGTTCGAAAGGACGTTTTGGAAACCGAGCACTGGATCGAGTCCTCTGTTGCTGCGGTCGTTCAGCTGTCCATTATCAATGAGTATGTGTCATGTCTCGCCCGTAACTGACAGAAGATCCCGAATGCAGAACGCAGGGCCTAGGCCTAGGGACTAGACCGGATTGGTCACGGGCGTGAAGTCTTTCGTCCATATCACACCAGTAATAGATCCTATGGCCTACTGACTGTGTTGGAGTCAGAAAGTTCACCCCATCTCAAACTCAAAATCAAGACAAACGATCCAAAAGTGTCCCCACCATGGCATGGATACTACTAAAGTACTAGACTAGTAGGTCTACCCTGACCTGGTGGTAGCTAGATTTGACAAACAATCATGTACGGTGGTGTAGTTACAGTCATGACTCATGTATGTAGCCGCCGTTGCATCTCCGCGACCACACCAGCTTTGGCGAAAACAATAACTCACTTCTTACTTGAAGGCAATGATATTGCTTGCTGAAGCAGGAGATAGTCCACTGGGTGTGCACGATAGCCGGATAGGCCTTTGCCAGTTTAAACAAACAGTGCTAAGTGCTACATGTAGTGTGGTGGGAACTGCCTGGAGAGCCGAGTCATTCGGAGCAGCAACTCCGCGAGGTGGTTCATGCCTCTGCGCCAGTCGTCACCGCTCTCTCCCGGAGTGCCAGTGATATTATGTGACCCCTGGTACAACCTCTAGCGACGAAGTGCAGCTCGTGGTTTGAAGACTTTGTGAGCCCGCCATCGTTCCATAAGTACCTAACATTTTGATAACCTCGCTGCAGGAAAGGCCCATGAGTATGAGATTGACAACCGAGAATAGGAGATGATGAACATAAGTATTGGAAGGCCATTGATCGCCGCACCAACTAGCTCCAAGATCCAGTGACCCGAAAGGAATCGCTAAGATCGACGCCTTGTCCATGTGCTTCTGCTCAATAGGAATGAAGGTGAGCGATAACGGCATGCTGCGCCGCGGATACTCGTAATGAATTACCACACAGTCTACTTTTACACCTACAGAAGTTCGCTATTGTGTGATAAGCCTTTTCGGTGCATACTCGCGATCGACACAATTACCCTGGAGACTCTCAGTATAAAGGAACTAAGAAAGTAACAAACTTGGTCAGACTCCATGGCTTTCATTCATGTAAACAGCCCCTCCTCCCCACATTCCTCGCCCAAACGATGTGGCCGAATAACACCGTTTGAAAGACTTCAGCCATGCACAGCTTGCCAGCACCGCAAAGTGATTTTGTGGATTGGGGTGATTGTGCCAGAATCTACATCGTATTCATTGTATTGGAGTGAGATCTATGTGGCATGCCACAGTGTCCCGGATGCATGTACAGGATGCAAGATAGAGGAAGAAAGAGAGAGAGAGAGAGAGAGAGAGAGGGGGGGGGAGAGAATAGGTGTGTGTGTGTGCGTGTGTGCGTGTGCGTGCGCACGTGCATCAGTATGGAAGATTGCATGTGCATATTGGTACGGCATATGACATTGTGTAGTTTTCATGGTGTGACGTTGTTAACACATGCAGCATTGAATTCATATCCTAAGTGCCCGTTGACTGATGTCATTATTGCAATACACGATGGAATCTATCTTGTTTAGTCTTAGCCTATGTAGTATTTTAAACCAGGCCTTGCCAATGCCAGTGGCATTGAAGAGTTTGAATGGCTACGCACCTGCAAGCGCACAACACCTTCCACCTTCGGAAATGGCTAACACTGGCATCGGAATGCTCACCTCTTGGGTGTGTTGGCATTGCCCTTGCCGCACACTGTTATCAAGCATGCTATCTCAAACTACGGTCAGACCTCGCTTATCCGGTCCTCTTTTATCGGGATCCCTCGCCATCCGGAAGAAAATCGTTGGTTACCGATTTACAGCATATGTCATGCATACAATACATACAGTGTGTGTGTTCGATTATCCGGCTCCCTCGCCTATCCGGATGCTTTTGTGGAAAACGAATGTGTGCGGTTTAATTACAAGTAAAAGCGAGGTCTGACCGTATTACTTGATTTATTCCAAGGTACTTCAAAGTAGAACTACAAGTCAGTAATGGTTGTAGCATTTTTGTTTTGCGATGCAGCCCTGGATGGCGGTGTCGTTGCTGCTGCTGCTAAGCATGCAGATTCAGCTGCTGCAGTGTGCAGCTGTGCCTCCTACTTCCTCGACATCTGCTGAAGGTGAGTCCATTTCTGAGCGTTAGTCTCAAATAATAGTCACATTTTAAATTTCACGGCTCGCTTGAGACTCAGCTAGACTGGGTTTTCAGCATCCGTAGGAACGCTACCACCCTGTAAAGATCCGAAAGGCGCAGCAGCTCCACAAGTGGAGGGAGGTGAGTAGATAGACCACCAGCAAAGTGGTCAAAGACCGAAAATCCCATTCGCTGCATCCATGTTTCCATCGTGCCAGGCCACGTGTTCGCAATTAACTGTGGGTCGGTCGCATTCTCAAGACGAAACTAGAATGCACCACTGCTCATTCCAATACGGAACTGTGGAAATGCTGGATTTTTCTGCTGAGTATATGTAGATCAGGAACTTCCTTTTCACATTTATACACGACAACTCACTTGAACTCTCTGTGAATCCCGGCAGTAATGGAACAAATAGATGACTCTGTTCTTCATTAGACCTTCGACTACTCCATACGCAAGTGGGTTGTGTGGAAAGTTATACTCATCATTGATGTACATGTATTTGGTATGTATAAGCGGCGCGCAGACAATAACTTTATTATGGCAATCAGCAGAATCAGTGAAGCGGACATTGGACGTAGTAATCAACAAAAATAAAAGATGGATAATAAAATTTCCATTTATTTACATGTATTTGGTATATGTTTCCCATCACTGACCTGTATGTTCTAGGATCAATCTGCGGTGCACCAAGCCCACTGCGATTCCAAGGCCTCCTTTACGCTAGGCAGCTGTCCTACAGGAACAGCGTGCGTGCCACGCATTCATCATGCGATTTGCATGCGCCGTCGGGAAGTGCCATGGCCGCGGTGGAGTTCAGTGATCCTGGCTTCATGAGAGTGTTCCGTCTCACCTGCAATGTTCCGCCCGGTATGTGTGAGTTATGAATTATTGCACAACACATTCATATTCATGCAGCAGGACATCTACAACACTCCAACAGTACTGTAGTTATAAAGCTAGTTAAGAGTCAGGGGCGTCGGACACGCTACGGTCACTACGGTGTTGACCGTACCACTCATTTTTTTTCAGGTACGCCGTGAATCAATAAAAAGCACTGACACTTGGGTTCCAAATGTCGAAATGCTTCAGAGGTGCCGGCCAGACCCCAAGACACCCCCTTTGAGTTGAAGGGGAAAATTCACCATTACCATCTGCAGTTCTTTGTGAATATACTCTGACATAATAATCATTCCATCACAAAGAGATTCTCTTTGCTTCTTTGCTTCTCCATTGACTGCAAGTACACCATTGAAAGTTATGTGGTGAATACGACCACTGCTGGTATCTTTAACCCCGTACAGATTCCGACGCACGCGCTTGCATCTTTCAGTTCAGAGCTGCTCCCAGGGCCGGAAGAGCAGGACGTCTTCTACTTGCTGTATTGCGGCCACCTGGAGTCTCCTACTGGAATATCACTACTAAGGACATGAACAGAAATCCGTTCAGTGATCTGTTTGCACCCGGCTATGGCATGACTGATCACAGCGTGAAGTTGGATTACGAGGTGAGCTTGGCTCTTTGTCATCGTCACATTGATTGTATGTTTGGTTTATTTTTTATTTTTTTCACCATCCAATGGCAGAAGCCATGGCAAGAGAAGGAAAAAGAAAGAAAGAAAGAAAGAAAAAAGAAAGAAGAATTAAGTTCAAGTAATGTGATGTATGATAATGTCACACGTCTAGACTGTTGTAAGCTCACATGGCAGGAGCGAGCATACTAAATCTTTGGTTCATGGTTCATGGTTGTATTCTCATCATGTTCTCTCGCTTAGTAACCCTCTTGTTTATCACCACAGATTGCTAGGCGCAGCTCCTTGATACCACATTATCTGTATCTGCTCTCGGTGTACTTTCAGGTTCTGCCCTACCCGCTGCCCAAGTCAAGTATCAATGACAGTGCCCTGGCTGTGAAGTCGTCGATTGTCCTAAGAAGTGAGTCTGTGAAACATGCTTGTTGCACATTGAATCTAGGTGCGTGCGGGTTTGATTGGTCAAACCTGGAACAGGATCCGCCTGGGGCATTTCTATCAAATGCGGGGCATTCGCTGGGAATTTGCGCAGCGGGGCATTTCATCAAATCTGCACTTGCTCAGGCCAGGGTTGGCTGGAACATGTTGGTGCAGTCTCTGGATTGTAATCAAGTTCTGATATTTGAACACTAAGTCTTGTTTGTGTTTGAATGGAACTTTTGTGGTGTAGTGGGGAATGTGGGCACACATGTGTTGGTTTACATGTGCATTATGTATGTATAACACTGGGTGCGTGTTTGTGTGTGTGTGTGTGTGTGTGTGTGTGTGTGTGTATGTGTGTGTGTGTGTGTATGTGTGTGTGTGTGTATGTGTGTGTGTGTGTGTATGTGTGTGTGTATGTACTTGTCAGGCTGCGAGGACATGGACTGTGTGCCTCAGTACTGCATGCAGAAGTGCTGCCGTAAGTGAGGAGATGACAACATTGAATGAAAAAGTAGACTATTGATTATTACGTAGCTTTGGACTAGTGATGTCAAAAGGTAGTAGAGTTCCCGTGCTACCCGTAATTTGATTGGGTAGTAGGGTAGCAATTTGTTCCTGAGAACCTGATCAGGTAATTGGAGTACAGTGTTTTTGCAACGGTGCATGTAAACAGCACCGATACGTGCTTACTGTACACTTTCCATGTTGTGCAAATGCATACTCATAGAAGAAACTGTGTCAAAAAATACCCGACAGGGCACCCTTGCTACCCGGATAAAAATACCCGAACCCATTACCCGACCAAACCCCTACCCCTTGCAGCCCTGCTTTGGAGATGGGGAAGGGGATGGGGGGGGGGGGTTGTTCTGGGGAGAGTTACGAAAGGGGGACTGATGTCTTCAATGTCTAACGGTTGCTAATGCCTTTCTAGCTGCAATGCCAGCCATTGACTGGAATCACTGTTCAGATCACCGGATTGTACTCTATCACCTGTTTTCAGTTTTCACCCGTGCCAAAGTACACGTAGAAGTAGATGCTTGATAACGTTTTGCCATGATTCATGTGTGCTTTACCTTGACTTGTTGTTGATTGATCGCAGTGAAACCGTCAGATCAGACAATGCTTGGTAACATCTCCGGTACGTACACCAGTAGCCACAGTGCGGAAGTCAGCTACACTATAGCGCATGTCTATCCCCACGGCGTTCAGCAAACCTACAAGGTGACCGTCCTGTACGAAGACAGACTGCGTTTCAACGTCTCAGCCATCAGCGCGATCACGGCATCGTACGATGCGCGCTGCCCGCCAGGCAGATCGTCTCAGTTACCCGTGGATACCCTGGATGGAGACGTTGTCGTTCAAGTCCTTGTAAGTCATAAACACAGTGTGCAGTAAAAAAAATATTTTTCACGGTTCGCGTGAGACTCGGCTGGAAGCCCAGTTTTCCGCATCCGTCGTGGGAACGCCACCACCCTCTAGGATCAAAGGCGCAGATGCAGCGCCTAAACGGTGGGAGGTGAGTAGATGATCAGACCCACCACCAAGTGGTCAAAGACCGAAATCCCATTAGCTGCATCCATGCAGCACTGCTCAATGAAATACGATCGAGTCGCTCGAACACATGCCGGGTGCTGCGTATCCCTAGACCTGCCAAGACTGGGCCACGAAACGGTGCAAGGCGCAAACGTGACTCACACGACCTTTTCATTGACCAGCACTGTACATTCGGACCTCACATAGCTACGCGTGTTGGTTTTCATGACATATAGTTGGATGGCAGAGGGAACCAGGACCTGAAAGAATCATTGTAACACTGTACACCGTCAGTGTGTTTACTGCAGAGTATGCTCCAACCTATTCCCACTGGTTACTGTAAGTCAACAAACATTCGGCGTATATCCATTTTTGGCTATTTTCAACCTGGTCATGCTAGGGCAAAAATTTGTTGCGACCGAAATTTTGTTTTGCAAGGTTCAGTGTGACAGTGTATACAGGTGGCAGCAGTACAGGCCGAAAATTTGATGCAGCCGAAATGGGTTTTAGCCCTGGGAGGCCGAAATGGGTTTTAGCCCTGGGAGGCCGACAATTTGTAGACTACACTAGTGACGGAACTGGAAATAGAGGAGTGGATAAAAGAGGAGCAGATTTATGTGTTTTGAAGGTAAAAAGGCTCATTTATCTTGTACTTGTATCATAATGCATTGCTATATTTTCACAGTGATGTAGGAAATCAATGTTACATGCATGCAGGTAGAGCTGTGAAGAAATCAGAAGAGCCATTCTTACTTACTTTTACTCTGTGTGCGCCTGTGTGTATGCATGTCTATCCTGTCTGTCTGTCTGTCTGTCTCTCTCTCTCTCTCTGTCTTTCTCTCTCCATCCCTCTCTCTCTCTCTCTCTCTCTCTCTCTCTCTCTCTCTCTCTCTCTCTCTCTCTCTCTCTCTCTCTCTCTCTCTCTCTCTCTCTCTCTCTCTCTCTCTCTCTCTCTCTCTCTCTCTCTCTCTCTCTCTCTCTCTCTCTCTCTCTCTCTCTCTCTCTCTCTCTCTCTCTCTCTCTCTCTCTCTCTCTCTCTCTCTCTCTCTCTCTCTCTCTCTCTCTCTCTCTCTCTCTCTCTCTCTCTCCACCCCTCTCACTGTCTCTCTGTCTCTCTCTCTCTCTCTCTCTCTCTCTCTCTCTCTCTCTCTCTCTCTCTCTCTCTCTCTCTCTCTCTCTCTCTCTCTCTCTCTCTCTCTCTCTCTCTCTCTCTCTCTCTCTCTCTCTCACTCTTACTCACTGTTTCATAGGAATCGAAGAACACATTCTATCTGTGCAACCTTCCTATTGGCAGGAGGTGGACACTTGGGGTGAGTGTACTGCTACCACTGTCTCTCTCATCTGTAACCACACCAGCATTTACACTGTGATTACAAGAAATCGCTTGTGATGTAAAGATGGGACTCATCAAATGTCAGCTCCATTTCGAGATGATAGGCAAGATATGTTCTTGTTTATTTTTCAACCATGTTCTTGTGTCTACATAATTATGTGTGTGGATGTTTGTGTGTGTGTTTGCATGTGTGCGTATGTGTGTGTGTGTGTGTGTGTGTGTGTGTGTGTGTGTGTGTGTGTGTGTGTGCGTGTGCACGCATATGTGCTTTCCATCCAACTTCAGTTGACGGCATCCTACAAGGATGGCAACTGCAGGTACATGCCCACTCACTTCTCCACTGCTGTGCACAGTCCACTGTTCTGTGCGGGAGCTTCAGGTAAATCATGATATCTGTTGTCACTTGTCAGGACTGGAAAGTAGTCGTCTAGCTACATGTATGCGGCTGGGAGGGTATGAGAGTCCAGTTGTATCACATACTCTGCTCTCTCCCCCTCTGCCATCTACTACCTCCTCCCCTCCCCTTCCTCATTCTTGTCTTCGGCATCATCGTCACTGTTGTTGTTGTCGATCTCCTCCTTCTACTCTTCCACCTCCCAATTACTTCTGTTTAGCATGTTTTGAATGCATGATTGTGACCATGAACAGATGTGCTATTTGTCTGCATTGGTATTCGATTTGATGATTGCAGACAACAGCGCAGTGTGGTCCGAGTGGTCAGCCTGCTCTCCGTGTTCCTCGGCCACTCGCAGTCGCAAAGTGGTGAACCGCACGTGCCAGTCCTGGCAGCCGGCGCATCCCATTGGCTTGGAGGAGAACTGCACCTGCGTTCTCAGTTCTGGCACTGGACAGATTGCACCTTTCTGTAGTGTGACATATCCTGTGCCACCGGGTAAGCTTGCAGGAAAAGTGCAACTTGTGACAGGTGTATTGCTGGCTAAGTGTGGGCTGGATGATCCAAATGTTGTCCAGGGTATCCCTGGCTGGGTCAAGTCGGGTAGCCTCTCACGCGGGGTCTGACGATGTGTTTGCAATTACTCAGAAAGCTGTTATCACAGAGGCATGTGTTTAGACCAGCCAAGTACTCGAATTAATAAGCAAAGATATGCCGACTAGGGACACGATTTTCAAAAGAAGCTAAGAACGGCACGGTGTATTCCGTATCCTGTTTTCTTTGCTGCCTGCAGACTGTTCAAACAGCAGTACAACGGCAGGCAGTGACAATGGCGGTGTCAGTAGTATGGTTATTGGAGCCATCCTTGGTACACTGGTGCTTGTAGGACTTCTATTCTGTGTATCGAGCCAACGAGCCTGTAAGTATGGTACACGTACAACTTTCTGCTGTATTCATGTTATCACGATTGCTATCAAATAGCTCAAGTAGATATTGAACTATACGAGCAATACTTGTACATGCATACCATTGCCATTCATGGTCATGAACCAATTTGCGCTTAGCCACTGCCCACTGGTATGGATACCAGCTGTCAAAGTTCCTTCTGGCCAAACTGGTCTCTTTTTGTCAGTCAGACAGGCAATCTGCGTCTGGTTGACCTCCCAACCTTCCATGAGTGACAATTATGGCTGGTAAATTTCGTTCATTCCAAGCAAGCGTGTATGCGTGTGTATGGGGAGGGAGGGGGTGACATCATCATCATGATATTGATCCTTTTCTGGTTCTTTTCTTTTCTCTGTATACAGGGAAGGAATTTAACCATCCAACCAATCACCATTTCACAAACACAAACAGCGGCATGAAAAGCTACTTGACCTGGATTCACGTGGAAGGTGTTGAAAAGCACGACCGCACTGTAGCTAACTTCTTCTCCATGGCAAAGCCAAGACTGAAAGTAGTACTGAAGAAACTGAGCAAGAAAACCGGCAGAGCGTGTGAAATCCTGATCGTCGTGGTAACCAAAGAGCTCATTCTGCAATACGAAGGAAAATATACGAGTGGCGACATTGGCAAGTACCGATTCTTGCAGTGTGTTCTTGAGAAGCGCAAGCAGCGAAGCTACCCATACGATGTTGTGGCACTGGCGTTGAATGAGTGCATGGACGAAACGACATCACTGACGCAGGCAGAGTATAAGAAGTATTGTAGCAGCCCGTATGTGCAGATCCGGTATGATCACTCTGCATCAACAGCGGCTGTCAAACCGCAAGTCCAGACTCTCGTTGATGCTCTGCAGGCGTCTCATCCATCACCAATTCGTAAGCTTCGGTTATGTGTTGTGCCATGGCAGCTGTACTTTTTACCATGCACCAGGGTTATGGACACTCCCTCAGTACGGATATCCTTGATTTTACCATGTTTGCCCTGGAATTCATGAGCCATGGTCTACAGAAGTGCATTCCAGCTCTCTCGGTCAAAGCTTACATGCAGCATTGCAGGTTGAACGTGAAGCCTGCGGGTCCCTAGTTGAATTCTTGGTGATGATGGCAACCATTTCCACACACATTGATGCATGGCGATGGCAATATTCTCCCCAAAGCCATCGTTCAAGTTTCAATCTTTTCAAATTTCATGATTTGCCAAAGGAATGATGGGCTCCAACTGATTTATTAGAAAAAAGGAATTTTTGATGGTCTGCCAACTGTCTTTGTTCTGGAATGCCGTGCATTAACTATTTCCCTGCTGCAGCTCCTTGTGCCGGGTGTCTCAATACACACATGCTGCTGAAACAGAGGCTGAACAGGGACGATGGTGTGATGAACATTCTGACCCTTCATCCGCATGAGCACGAGCACGCCCAGAGCTATGGTGCCATCAAGGGATTCATATTGGGCAGCATGGCGGAGCGACTCAAAGATTTGTCGGTGGCTCGGCACGAGCATGGGCACAACAGCTCAGATGGATTCGACATTTTTCTGGCGTTCCTGAGTCAGGAATCAGTAGGGCATCTAGAGAAGATTGGTGCATTGCCTCGTCAAGAAGGCAAGTCTGATTTTGCCCTGCATGATTTCTTTCTTTGCCGCCGTGACAACCGAGCAGCGCCATATCTGCTTGTGACGGTCATTGTAGATGACCCGGGCAATGGCTTACATCCGGTTAGTGTCAAACATGTGCAGGAAATGTCTGGCCTGCACACAGATGCCATTCTGTCGGCTCAGGCCAATACCTTTGCTGCACTTCCCAATGGGCTGACCAATCCTGATTGTGCGGCGTTGGCCGAAGAGATATACGAAGCGCTGACTCGAATGGCCCTTTCGACTCCTGATGTTCACTCAGCACTGAATGAGGCTGCGACCAAATTGCCTATCGATGGTCAAGCTGCATCTGCACATAACACTGGACGTCATCCTAAGCCTGACACATGTACATCATCCACCTGCCTGCCGTGTGAACAGGTCATAGCCCGGAGGTCTGAGTGCATGTCCACGGGCGCACCGGAAAGTGATGGCCTTGAGCAGAGGCTGGAGAACAGCGATGACCAGCGTATCAGCTATGCCAAGCAGCAAAGAATACGCGGGCACAGTCCAAGAGAGAGTGCAGATGCTAGAACTTCCCTCCATCCCCAGCATGACGCCGTACTTCCCGTCTACAGTGAAGAATTAGGTAGATTTGAAACTGCTATGTAAGTAAGCATGACTTGGAATCAAATTTTTTTGTTGTATTACATTTTTTCTCAACAGTGAGTCCTGCAGTTTCAGCTCCAGTACTAGCTTTATAAAGTAGATCTCAACGGTCTGATCCTGGTTTACTCTGCCATGACACAGAGTTCATGATGATTATAGGTACTCGAGTATAATCTATATTTGGAGTACTGAAGTGGTACACTCTTGTCTACATGTACATTAATTTTATATATCCTCCACACAGCTTGACAGGCCTATTCAGGACATACGATTACATCAGCACCCCAGAAATGCCTCGGTTATATGATGATATCACAGAACCTTATTCTTCTATTCCGGACCCCTATTTCTGAAAAGTGCCTCATCTTGAATCGTCCTTGTACATGTAGTTGTATATGCATTCTTTCATAGCAGTTCTTAATTTGAAAAGGGGGAGGGGAGGGGAGAGTTGGGGAAGGGGGAGGGGGTTGGGGGTTTACATGTACATGTGCAATGTAGATATCACCATGGTCACCTGCAGTAGCCAAATCAAATTCCTGGGGGCGCAGAGTAGTCATCCAATGCCCAGAATTAACCAGCCATGGTAAGGCCACGCCGTTTTTTTCTATGTTTCGCGTCACCTTATTCGATGAAATCAATGAGGGAAGGCGAAAAAAATAAAAAAGCCATCCAAAAAAAACCAGTGTACATGTACGTGCATTGCATTTGTACATAATTGTGTACAGAGTGAAGCGACGCGGCACTGTTCATGTACATTGACATGTACATGAATAGCAGATTACATGAGTGTATCGATCCCCTCTGCCATGCTTGTGGTCCAAACACAGGCGGCATGCATGATGATTGTGTGACTTGCGGCCCAGCTTATTGCACACCAGGGAGTCGTCAAAATACTTATTTGACGACTCCCTGTTGACACATGTAGTACATGTCACAATGTACATGACATGTGTGTGAGCTGACACTGCGTACTGCTGCTGAGTTACATTTTCCGGTTTTCTGGGTTAACCCGGTTTGCATTAAATTTGTATTGCATTTTCAAAAAAAAATTGTTGTTCCTTTTTTTTTTGAACTCTGGCTGTACTGTGAAATACATGCGCGCGGGGGACGCGAAACAGATAAAAAACGGTGTGGCCTAAAAGTACAAAAGAAAACAAGAAAACAGTGGAAAGAAAGGAACAGGGAGGAAACAAAGCTCAGCCAAGAAAGGAACAGGGAGGAAAACAAAGCTCAGCCAATTTTAAAAGGTGAGATAAGCCGGAAATAATTATTACATTGTTTAGCTAAACACGCGTGAGTGCTGCAGGAAAACGCAATTCAGTACAAACAACTTGGCGAAACTGAGACATGCTGTGGCAGTGGTGGGCGAGGCTTGATCATGTTGATGGCTTGAGCCAGTCAGAATAGGAATGAAACAAAGGGGATTTTGTAAACTGGACAGTGCGAGCTGCAGGTAGCGAGACTTGTGCCCTTGTTGAACGGCTCCGCACAAACCAGTCATAGGGAAAGAGATGCCTTGGTACTTTCTCGAGTTTTATCTTTTGTTGCTGTGGAGACTGCGTCGAATAGAAAGGGGGCAAACATGAGCGAGAACATAGACGGTTGTGCAGAGGATCGGAGAACTTGTTAGTGTATGCACTTGTTCTGACTGATTCTCTCATGATAATGACATTACAACTCCGCGGTACATGTGGACGTTGTGCGGACGTCCTGCTGCACGAAGAGCGTGCGCAGCGAGGGAGTGGCTCCTTGCTCGGACACCTTTGGCCCGTTTGTGTTTTTGGTTTTGAACTGGTCTCAACTCATGGTACATGTAGTTTTGTTTTGTTTTGTTTTGTTTTGTTTTGTTTATGTTAGTTTCCACAATAATCATGATAATGTATTTCAACTAAAGTACTTAGTAACTTACTCCAAGAAGCCGGTGTGCGTTGGTGTACAGTGTCAGGGGGTGCACTGGTTTTCCCACAGCGTGGTGCCGAAACCCGGGAGATCCAATCTACGTAGAATCTACAACCCGGCCCACATCGGCACAGTGTGTCATACGTACATGTACATTGTACTGATGATTGTAATACAATAATAAAAATTCCATAGTAGTGACATGACAAGTACATGTACAATCAAGAGTCCATAACCCCCCAGAGTGTGCAACTCGTGATCCTTCTCAGCACAAATCAGTGCCGCAACGAAATCCAAACTTCATACGTCATGTAGTGAGTAGCTATGACGAAATGGGAAGTTTGGCCCGGACCTACTTCGCCCGTTTGCCCAATTATTATTTGGGGTCTTTCTTTACGAATCCACGGCCAGGTATTGTACGTAACACGCCTGGAAAGGCTCAAGTTCACAAAGAATTATTTTAGAGTTGTCGAACAGTTTTCTCTTTTGAGTGTCTCTCCGATAAGAGAAGAACAATGGCCACTGTTGAACCTAAAGCAAAGCGCTCCCCATTGTCGCCGGAGTGCAGTGTGCAGTGCCAAAATGGGACTGAGGAGCAGGTTGAAGCACATCTACTTCGAAATCGATCGGGTCTTCATGCCGTGTGCCAAGAGCTATTTCCATCAAATCTTGTAAATCTATATCCATGCCTATTCTTGCTATCCCGGAGTCACGAACTCTCCCAATACAGTACAAGCTTTTCAGACAACGAGCAGAGAAACTCTCTTCAAATAAAAAAATTCTGTGACTGTGAAATCAAAGCCGTTCTGCGCTGACACTGCATAGCCCGTGGAGCAAACGTTTTACGTGACACTTCCGTGGCTTGCTTCAAAGCAACCTTCAACTTGGAACCCCCGCTACATGTACCAGATATGCACATGGCCCCATCCGCCCATGCTTGCCCGGGGACCGGATGACGCAATGTTTGGATTTCGTTGCGCCAGACCCCAACCTGGAGTTGCACACTCTGGGGGGTTATGGACTCTTGGTACAATGTATACTGTATACGTATCTAATATTGACTGAGTACGAGGTACGGAAATAAAAGCCGAGGTCTTTTACGAGGTTTTTATTTCCTATACTGACCAAGTACGAAGTCAATATTAGATTTATCACAACAAACAGTCCGTATTTCAAATTCCAGAACGATAATCTCATGAATCCCGGTTTTATGATTGCACAACCGTTGCACCACCACCTACTCATGCAGTGACAATGCTGCACTAGGCACCGTTCAACTGCGCAACCCCTAAGCAGTCAAATATAAGCAGTCAATAATAGCCCTAAGGAGTGAAATATGCAGGAATATTTGACTGCTTAGGTATGGCAAAAATCTATGCGAGTCAATACTAAGGGACTGGTGATAATGTATAGTAGTGAGAGAGTGAGCTCTGGACTCTGGCCAGTCTGGAGTCCGGTGAGAGCACTCGGAGCAGAGAGTTCAGTGGCTACAATGAGGCACGTGACTTCGGAAGTAGGTAGTAAGATTACTAAGAATAGTTCGGACAGGCCGGCCACGCCAGTTTAGTTTCAGAAGGACACGCTTTTATTTGCTACTACTACTACAGTTGAACATCGATTATCCGCACATCGACTATCCGACCATTCAATTATCCGTAACAGTTTTTTTGGGCGCACGTGCCGTAGAGTACGCACTGTGCATGTAGTGAGCCATTCAAAAAATACGAAATTTTTGAAAAGTAAAAAGTAAAAAGGTCGTGCGGCTAGTAATAACCACTGAAAGTGTGTGAGTGACAGTTTTTTCTTATCCGGAACATTTGCCTTATCTGAACACCGCCTGACAGTTGTCTGCCCAGAGCCGGCAGAGGTGGTCGGATAATCGATGTTCAACTGTACTCACTACTACTACTAGTACTACTACGGTGCATGCTAGCGCTGTGAACACTAATAATAATAAAACCTGTTCTAGCAGTAGCATCCTGGAAGCCTACTAGTACTAGTAGTAGTACTAGTAGTAGTACTAAGTACAATATACATGACTGTACCGGTAATACTAGCGATAGCGGCAAGAGGGGAGAAAAGGACAGGTGTTATCATTGTCAATTTGCGGCGGATTGCGGTGTCTTTGTTTCAGGGCTGAGGCGATGGCAAAGATAGCGGTGTGTGGAGACGTGTGCGAAAAGTTGTTCTCTCCGAAACCGCGATACGGTATAAATAACACCAATCGAGTAGTGGAGGCGAAGGGCAATGGATTACCACAATATTTACTGTGCTGCGAGTAACAGGTGCACGCGGGGTGAGATATAAATTCTCTTCTACTAGTAAACGGCAGCGTTTGAGCAAACAGCATGGAAGCTGAAATTTTGAAACGTGGTTGGAAGGAGGCTTGTCGGAAATTTCTCCTGTTCGTGTCGCTATGCTGCTTGTACTGCGTGAGCTTCAGCAGCGATCTGACGAGCAGCGTTTCCTATGCCGAGCTATTGCTTGACCCGTGTCCATCAGGAAGCCGGGGGCAGCAGAACGGCAGTGGAGAGGCAGTAACGGACACAGTAACTGTCATACCGTTGGCTAGTCTTACTCCATCTCAATCAACAGTGACCGATTCAGCATGTGGAGGTTTCGGATCTAGTGCATCCAGCACAGGTCAGTAGCCCAGATAATGTACAATGTAGATAAATACACATTTCTCTGAGGATTTTGTTGAGCGTACTGGGTGTGCATTGATTCATTACACAGAAATGCAGTTCAGAAATACTTCAGTCCAGGAATATGGGAACACTGCTAAATTGTTGAGTTCGTTTGGTCTTCTTGGACACGAAGACCGTTACATGAGTGAGAGGTGGCCATGTTGAGTATCATGGCTTCCTTTAAAGGGGAAGTTAAGGCAAAAATTAAAATTTCACCAGTTGTAGTCTTCGGGGTGCTGAGTCGAATGGTCTTGGTCCGAGAAAGCTGAGACACTCCCTTCCTACTTGAATCCCAATCGAACTCGCGCACTTCCACCGAAACTGGGTGACTGCGCCCTACTAGATGGGGATTTGTATGCAAAATGTCACTAAAAGCGCCATTTCGTTCTTATAAAAGCACGGATGACCGCGATTGGCCCATATGTTGTAGTCTTTTGGACGCTGAGTCGACTGGTTTTGGTCCGAAAAGCCTGCGATGCAGAGTTCCTCCTTTATTCCCAATCGAACATGGTTGAACAAGTGGTCACGTGCTCCTGGGTGCCCAAATCACCTGGTCACCACGCCAGCAGGCGACAACTTTCACACCAAGGTTCAACTCGAGTTCAACTCGAGTGACAGGACTGCACCCAAAAAAGGTCAAAAAGGTTAGTAAGTTGTACCCTGCAGGCACGGTGACCAGGTGACTGGTGTACGCAGGAGCACGTGACCGCTTGTTCAACCATGTTCGATTGGGAATAAAGGAGGAACGCTGCATCGCAGCCTTTTCGGACCAAAACCAGTCGACTCGGCGTCCAAAAGACTACAACATATGGGCCAATCGCGGTCATCCATACTGTTATAAGAACGAAATGGCACTTTTAGTGACATTTTGCATACAAATCCCCATCTAGTAGGGCGCAGTCACCCAGTTTCGGTGGAAGTGCGCGAGTTTGATTGGGATTCAAGTAGGAAAGAAGCGTCTCAGCTTTCTCGGACCAAGACCATTCGACTCAGCACCCCGAAGACTACAACTGGTGAAATTTTAATTTTTGCCTTAACTTCCCCTTTAAGCTGAACTCTTCAGTTGAAAAAAAAACGGGTCCGAAAATCTAAGAGGCCATCCAACATTACCAATAGTGTTTTCAAAACGAAAGGTTTTCGTTTGGGGTTGGCTGGGTTTTAGGAGATTCGTTTTGAATATAATTTTTGAATGCACTTGGCGCTCGCCCAGCTACTTCTGGGTGCCGAAATTTGGCGTCAATATTTTCTTGAAATTATTTTAGCTGAGGAAAAGGTGGGCGGGCGGGTGCTAACAAATACTGAAACCTTTCGTTTTGTAAACAACCGGTAACCCTCGAGCCCCTAAAGTGAAAATAGGCTTTGGTTAGAAATCAGGCTATTTAATCCTGTAAGAAGCAGATTTTTTAGCAAAATGAACACGATATAATCACGATGTCCTCTGTCCCAAAACTATTTGTTCCAAGGAAATACTTCAAGTCCCGGGAATGTAGAGCTGAAGGCCATCAATCAACCTGGAATTTTTCCTTGCACGTACATTTGATACAGAAGGAAACCGTGCTAAATCTTAAAAAAAAAACTGAAATTAGAACCAGCCTCGCAGCTCGATTTGGTAGACATTTTGATCTTGAAACTCCGAGCCTGGTGGATGTGGTATACAATGCTGGTCTGTTCAAATTATCTCTCTTCTTGTGTGTATGTGTGTGTGTGCGTGTGTGTGTGTGCGTGCGCGCATGTGTGTGTGTGTGTGTGTGTGTGTGTGCGCGTGCGCACGTGTGTGTGTGTGTGTGTGTGTGTGTGTGTGTGAGTGTTTGTGTGTGCGCGCGCGTGTGTATGTGTTTATTTTCATGTGTGTGGATGTGTTACTATGCAGCATGGGTGGCATCTATCTACACTTGCGTGCGTGTTGGCACATGCTGGTTGGATGGTATCACATTCGAAGTGCTCGGAGCCCGGAAATCAGCTTTCCTGGGCTTGCTGTTATTCACCATTGGAAGCTTGGGAAGCTCGTTTGCCAATGAATTGTATATATTGTACATCACACGTGGCTTGATCTCCGGACTTGGCGGTGGTTTACTGTTCACGTTGCCTGTAGCAGTCATTGATATTGTTTTCTCAAGTCACAAGTGTCTGCTCATGGCATTTGCATCTAGCACGAGTGGAATTGGTGTAGTATACCTTGCACTGGCTGGTCGGTCAGCTATCCAGTATGGTGGCTGGCAGTGGTACTATCGCGTACTGGGTTTCACCAGCATTGCTACAATGCTGACAGTGATCATATTACCTGGTAAGCTATCATCAGATGGATACAAACAAACCAGAACGAGTCAGTCAAGCTCTGCAACCGGATCCAGTAGTTCCGAAGGGAAAGAGACGAAGGACCTGAGCACCATAGGATCTACATTATCTGAAACATCCAGACCATGTGGCACGCTGCAGGGTCTTGCGAAGAAGACAAAGCTATCGTTTATCCGTGGTATATCGCTGTATCGCAACTTTAACTTCATCTTGCTAGTCATCGTCTACTTCTTACTTTCGCTGATGTTCTTTGTCCCTATTGTGACAGCGGTGAGTGGTAAAATGGAAAGTGAAAATATGTACATGTAACCTGTGTGGAGAGAAATTAATTATGCCAATAAAAAGGATCAGCTGCGCACTCATTCTATACGAACATCAAGGGAAAGGTAGTGGGTAAGGTTCCAAGAACGTTTCTGAGAAAATATTCATGGAACCTTACCCGCCACCTTAGCCTTGATGTTTGTATAGAATAAGTGCACAGTTGATCCTTTTTATTGCCAGAATGAAAATGTATCAGACCATTCTTATCTCAGAGATACGTTTCCGAAGAATAATTCTTAGTGAACTTTCTAAAAATCCACACAAACCTCAATGCTACCATTTAGAACAGGCGCGTGCGCCGGTGCCCTTCAAAGGGGGGGGGGGGCTGCCCCGGGAAAATTCTCAAAAAATGAAGCAAAATCCTGCATTTTGAGCGAAAAAGGGGGGGGGGGGGGGTTCCGGGCACCCAGGAACCCATACGGGGCACGCGCCTGTAAGAATGTATAAAATCCCAACACTCTCACAAACCATGGAACTTCGTTATATTCTGACTTATGCCTTGTGTGTCATCTGTTTTCTTGCACCGTTTGTAGAGACATCGGTCCCAGCACATAGGTAGCAGCAATGACGAAAGCTTCCTTCAGGTTATACTAGTTGGAGCTGGTTGGTTGGGTGGCGGCCTGTCAGCTGGCCTGACTGTGCAATACTTGCCAGTGTCGCCCATCCTGATGCAGGGTGTGATAAGCACCGCGGTCGGCCTTTCTTGCTGCCTCAGTGCCCTGGTGAACACGGTGGACGGCTTCCGCTACTTCATCACTCTCTATGGCTTCCTTATAAGTGCGGTGAATGCTCTCGGCCCACTCGCGCTTCTAGAGATCGTCAAAAAGGAAGAGGTGCCACATGCCGTCGGTCAAATGCTACTGCCTGCGGCCATTTCTGTATTATGTGGTCCACCTGCTGCAGGTGAGAGGTGTGCATTGAAAACGCAGATGTGCAGCAAGCCTGAGGCTTGAAATGAAAGAAAAAGTTAGGCAGATATTACTATAAATATTGGACATTCCTGGTGAGATGATGAGTCCGATTGGCGTCTGTTATATTCGGAATACTATGTTAAGCATTTCCAATTGTGGAACTGGGTTCAAGAATTGAATTTTTAGCAAAATTAATGTTAGGAAAGTTCAACCAAAAAAATTTCAGAAGTCAAAATATGTTTCCGGCTTCTGAGTTCCATACCCACTGGTGACACAAGTACAATGCGAACTGTCAAAAGATCCAAATATGGAAAATCTGTAAGATCTGATGTAGAACTATGATGCCAGATGTGTTGGTGGTGGTGGGGGGTGCATTTTATACCGGATGTGGTTTGTATTGATTTGTTATCCCATTGTTAAAATTAGGGATGAACAACTACAGTCAACTTTGCTTATAACGACACTCGGCGGGACATCAGAAAAGTGTCCTTATTCGCGAAGTGTCGTTATACCCGAAGTCTCATTCTATGTATTACAGTTGGATGGGACTTTGCTTTGGGCATGGAAATTCTGTCGTTATATATGGGACTTTGCTTTGGGCATGGAAATTCTGTCGTTATATCCGCAGTCGTTATTAGTGAAGTTGACTGTATACCAGTTCTTCTCTCACCCACTTGAAAGATATTTGCTGGAGTCACAGTTTGAGTACATTAGAGAGCCATTGATAGTCTCTGTGACAAGCCGCTAGAACTAGGATTGAGAGAAAATATTTCCAGTCAATTGACCCTGGCTGGTATTAGAAGACCACCTGCAGATGGGAACGCAGTTGTAAAGTCCAATGAGTGGTCGGCTTAGGCAGGTTTCACTGTTTTTACGAAATCAACCGTATTTCTAGCTTAGAACAAGTATTTTGAGTAGAGATTGAAGTCAGTTTCAGCATCTCGTATCCGATTTGTAGGGCTGGGCGACCAATAAAATACTCGAATCCAACTTTTACCCCTATGAGCAAGGACTTAGGCTGATATGATGGGGATTGCAAAAGCAAGTAAGTTTTCTGTATGCATGACAACAAGGTGTGTGTGTGTGTGTATGTGTGTGTGTGCGTGTGTGTGTGTGTGTGCATGTGTGTGTGTGTGTCTGTGTATGCGTGTGCGCGCGTGTGTGTGTGTGTGTGTGTGTGTGTGTGTGTGTGTGTGTGTGTGTGTGTGTTGATGTGATATCCTGCAGGCTGGCTATACGATATCAGTGGGAGCTATGTACTACCCGCAGCGATTGGCGGCGGAATTATGGTTTCTTCCGGACTTTGTGAGCTGTACCTTTTTGCACGTGTGCAGAGACAGAAGCGCAACAAGTCCAACAACACGATAGCTTGCCCAGGGCCTGCTCATATGGCCGTGGAAAGCAGTGCAGTGGCAGAAACCATGGTGTGCTAAGTTAAGCATGGACCATCAACCGACTACACTCTCATAGTACAGTGTAGTGTCTTTCTTCGTTTACTAATTCAATCATCTGTGTTCTTCACTATTCATCATCTGCATTCAGGAGTGCTTTTTGTGTTGTTAATTTTATTTTTGATCGTGAATTTGGTACTTTCAATAATTATTTCAGAATGTGTTTTGTTGTGGGGAGTGCTCAGTATCCTTCATTATCACTCCCTTAGTATTGACTCACATAGATTTTTGCCATACCTAAGCAGTCAAATATTCCTGCATAATTCACTCCTTAGCCGAGGCTTAGGGCTGTATTGACTGCTTCTATTTGACTGCTTAGGGGTTGCGCAGTTGAACGGTGCCTAGGGCAGCATTGTCACTGCATGAGTAGGTGGTGGTGCAACGGTCTGTCCCCGGGGAAAATTGCAATTCCGCGGCCGCGTTTTTTCCGCGTTTTTTGCGATTTTTTAAAAGACCGCGTTTTCCGCGATTTTCCCGCGTTTTTTGAACTTTTTTGTTGCACTACACGTACACACAGTGCACTGTTCGGTCAGCAACGTCTCATCGTGGCGGCTTTTTACTCAAATATGACGAGTGCTTACACCAGAGACTTGTAACTGATTGATTTCACTACATACTCACTGAAAATTGCCGCACATCAATATTATTCACCGCATATTTACCGCAAATTCACCGCAAATTATGCCATATTATGCCGCGTTTTTCCCCGCGTTTTTTGCGATTTTTTTCCGCAATTTTCCCCGGGGACAGAACGGTTGTGCAATCATAAAACCGGGATTCATGAGGAATTTGATTTGAAATACCGACTGTTGGTCGTGATAAATCTAGTATTGACTTCGTACTTGGTCAGTATAGGAAATAAAAACCTCGTAAAAGACCTCGGCTTCGCCCCGGTCTTTTACTCGGCTTTTATTTTCTATATTGACCTCGTACTCAGTCACTATTAGATACATATTGCAGACTTATCTGATCTCAGGGAGATATGTACATGTGTATTGTAGTTGTAATTGTGGGAGACTACATTGTAAACATTAACTCTGACTCTAACTCTAAACTGACATAAAGAAGGTTCTAACTGGTATCTCTAACTGGCCTTTCTAACTGGCCTTTCTAACTGTAGTTTCTAACTGAACTGTAGAGAATTGTGAACAGCAGCTTTTATAGGGTGAGGAATTGTTAGTGTAAGTAAGCTAGCCTATAGCCAGGGGATACGTAGAGTAGAAGAAGAAAGGTCACAGTAAGATGTGTGGGCCACAGTCATTGCACAAGGAATGCCATTTGATTCTATGCAGAAGAAGGAGCTGAATAACAGTGTGGGCAATGGGCGTAAAAGAGGTGGTTGAAAGTGCAGCAAAAGGTCTAGACTAATATTTCTAAGGTCAATATGAAACATTGAACGCAGTGAGACTAGTTACTATCCATGCCATGGATCTGCAAGCACGGTACAGAGTTGCAAGTGCGGGGTACGGGTGCGGTGTAACACGCGTGACCAATACATACCATTGAAAGGGATTCACGCTGCAGCTGTGTGATCACCAGCGTGCCAACGCTACATAATCAGGGCTTGAAAGTGATGACGTCAAAACGGCCAGGGAGTAGTAAGTTGACATCAGATTTCTATTTTTGGATCCACTAAGGTGTGACTTTGCTATTGCCTAAGTATGTGGGTGCATAGCAACCCACTCATGTCGCATGCAGGTGTGACTTTTATTTCGCCACCAGTTGTAACCCCGCCCCCAGTAGCCAAATCAGTCAGTTTCACTGGTTACATCACCTTGCTGAGAGTAAGACCGCTTGAAATGTGCTTGGATCCATACAAAAACTGGATCCAAGTGGATCCAATTTTTGAATTTTTGAAATTGTTGCTATGCTGTGACGTAGCACTTTCAAGCCCTCATAAGCAACGATCAGATCATGATTGTGGGTGCTTATGTGAGAGAGTTTCCGGAAGAGTTTGGGCGTCTGTTTTTGATTGGTATAGTGTAGGCCTAGTGACAGTAGTAGTGTAGTGCAATGGTGAACTATAGATTGCGGCGCGTGTTTCTGAGCAGTACTACTTGGTGTGCATGCATGATCTAGTACAATAGTAAGCTAGCTGCACAGTAGTAGTCTACCACTTCTGCGCCGGATGCCATGATCGTTGAGCGAAATATCTTTTTCATATGGCGCGGAGAGTCTTTGATGCAAAATGCACGGCACATCCCATCAAAATCCCGCATAGGACACCGCGACCGTAGTAACCACACTACTGTAAATATACAAAATTTCGGCGCTGCAAAATTTCGGCACCTCACAATTTGTGACATTTCGGCGGCGATTTATTTTCGGCGTGGGGTAGAGGGCATGGTATAGTGCAACAGATGCTGTGAAAAATTTCATCGGCGTTTTAATTTAGGCGTTTTGGGTCGGTGCCGAATATAGCCGAAATTAAATAGCTGCCGAAAATTTGTATATTTACAGTACCTTGTTGCTGCTTACCTAACTAGTTACTTAGTAAGTAGGTACATGTATGCTGTTGACCTATTGTGTGTGTGTGTGTGTGTGTGGTTTTTTAGAACTACATGTAGTACTTTTGTGGAACACTTGGTGTAATGATTATGTGTATTTTGCCCACTATGGTACTTGAAGTTGTGCTGAATCTAAGTGCTACTGCTAGTGCTAGTACAATGTATACATGTACTGTACTGTATACAATCATGTAGATCTACATGTACCAAGAGTACTTCAAATACTGGCGGAGTAGATCTACGTGTCACCTGATCAGGCGTTGAACGAAGAGATCTAGAGTCTACGATCCGATCGAGTGATCATCATGCGTGCCTCATATTATTAAATTAATAACAATATTATTTATTAACTGGTTTGAGGGAAAGAGACAATATTATTAATTTTATTATTGTGTCAAGTAACTGCAACATCCGTAATGATGTAGGATGTACAGTGGAATCACCGAAATCAACAATCGAAGCGCCAATACCGGTACAGTAATCAGTCCCGACTTCATAATTAGACACGTAGCAAATTTTAAATTTTCATTCGCGTTTCGTGGAGTTCGCATCCTGGGCATGGGAGAGGAAATGAACAAGATCATCGTTTAGATGAGACTACTTCCTGATCTTAGTTATTGGCACGCGGACGGCGCCACCGTCATAACCTGGTGAAGCGGAGTAATTCCCATGAACACTGGTGATGTTGACCAGCAGGGTGCAGGTGGCGGGGTACTTTACTGCAGCGACGGGGATCAGGATTTGTTCTCCGGCAACGCTGTTACCGGTACGCGGGATGAGGCTGCTGCTGTCGGTGACTGTAAGAAACCGTATCTTGTGTGCGGCTACATCGCTGCAACTAATTTCTTCATAGCAGCGGCGGTTACCCTGATGGTGCCGATCATGGCCTTGGAGGCCGAGTTGAAGAATCCAGATGCTAGCAGCTCTAAGGGTAAGAGCGTATCTAAACATGCTTCCGTGGGGCTTGTGTTCAGCATTGCCAAGTTCACCCAGGTCCTTGTTGCGCCAGTCCTCTCATCGGAATTAGGCAACATCGGCAGCAAGTATCTTCTAGTCCTGAGTACCATGGCTGTTGCAGGCTGCTTGGTACTGTTCGGATTCATCGCATACGTGGATGACTGGATTCAATTTCTACTACTGAGCTATTCTATACGGATTGCACAAGGGCTGTTCGACATTGCCAACTTAATTGCTGGCTACGCCATTCTCGCAGTTGTGCTAGCCGACAAGCCGGCTTTTGCGAATGGATTGTTTTTTGCTTCCAATGGCTTTGGCTATGCATTTGGTCCATTTCTTGGAAGTACTTTGTACAGCTTTGGAGGGTTTACCATGACGTTTGTTGTTGGTGGTGCTACGCTATTTCTAGTAGCAATAATATTGCTTCTAGTTATGCCGACTGTTGATCAGGTGGCGGAAAGGCAAGCAGCAGGTATGCCCATGCGTAGTAATATAAGCACGCTGGAGCTGTTGACAGTTCCCTGGCTGTGGGCAATACTCCTCATGCTATTCCTTGGGAATTTCGTGTTGGGAGCCGTGGAGCCTACACTGTCCTTGTACTTCATCAGATACTTACACACCTCAACTACCATCAGTGGTCTAGCCTTGCTTCTTTTTGGCGTTCTATTTTCAGGGTTGACGCCATTGCTGGGACACATTGTTGACCTTGGCTATGTCAGTATCGAAGCCGCTCAGCTAATCGGCCTGGTATCATGCGGTCTGGCATATCAGCTTGTGGGTCCCGCTCTGTTTCTCGGCTGGCCACGCTCTTTGGCGCTCAGCTTTGTGTCCATGGCGTTCTTTGCACTTGGAATGGCTGCACTGCTCACAGTCGCTGTCCCGGACATGACTCGTACCTGGTCCGAGCGCGGCTTCGGCTCACCATTCGACCTGCGCTATGTCGTGTCAGGCCTGAGTCGCCCTGCCATGGCTCTGGGCTATGGAGCTGGCTCGATCGTTGGCAGTAGTGTTGTAGCTGCTGTTGGCTTCCAAAACGGCATGTCTGTGATCGGTGGGGTGTACTTTGCAGTCGGGCTGATCGTAGTGGCCCGCTGCCTCCAAAAATATATTGTGCTGTACCGTATGTCGCGTGTGAGGAAACGATTGCCAGCTAAGGACTGATGAAACATATGCAGTATGGTGATTAGCAGTTGAAACTGTCCACAAGCACTATATTAACTAGTGGAGCCCGAGTTGCCAGTAAACTATATACAGTACAGGCTGTGTTGTGTAAATCATGATAGCTTCTAACACAATGGATCATTGACGTACTTGCGAAATTTCAATTTTCCCCATGTAAAATGTAAAACAGGACAGGGACATATGGATACTAATTTAGAGTAACTACATGTGCATGCGTAATAATGATAACACTTGTACTAGTAATTATATGTACATAGACAGAATGTGCAACGACTACAGTCCATTTCAAAACTATAGACGCGTACCTAGGCAAAAACCATTATGCCAGCATCTATACCACATAAAATCTGTGATCACTTTGTGCATAATTTTTTCCAAATTCGGCGTCTGTTATCCAATCGTTTAGAAACTATAATATATTATGAGAGTAATTGTGGAGCGGTCCTGAGCAATATTCCGAAAACTATTCTAAAAAAGGTCCAGCCAAATTTGAAATATTTCAAAAACCCTACGCGTCTATAGTTTTGAAATGGACTGTAGTCACAAAACTGTAGTACTCAGACATTCAACTACTTGACACCCACAGTACATTATGTACTTCAGTAGCTCCAATACATCTCTGAAGTTCCTATCCATTTTTGGCTCAACATCTGAGTTTGAAATAGACCACTTGAAATTCTAAAATAGTTGTTGAAATAATTACGTATTCACTGGTTTGAGGGAAAGATGCAAACGGGAAAATTCTGAAGAAAACGTTGACTGTCACCACCGGGACTCGAACCAAGCACCTTCGCTTGAGGCCAGCGATGCTCCAACCACTGAGGCATGGTGTAGCCGTCATCCCAGCAGAGACCGTTCAATAGGGGTAAGCGGATGATTCCGGCATAATCTTTGGCATATTTAGGTCCTTTTTGAGGAGCATAAAACGGCATCCGAAAAACAAGGGCAGATGCCCGGTGAGGCTGCTATACACATCTGCGAAGGATCATACATAGCGCTTCTTGTCGATTTGGAATAATATTTTAGCAGCCACTATAGGACATCTCCCAAAAGTTCAGCGTTTGTTTGTGAATTTGGCCTTCCTCTTGCATTATTATTGTCTTGCACTTCCACAAAGCTCCCAGTCCACACCATGACAATGGTCTGAGTCCTTTTTTCATGACGACAAGCAGAGTAAGGTAGATATAAGTCAGGTCTGCCAGGTGGACCTTAAAGGGGAAGTTAAGGCAAAAATTAAAATTTCACCAGTTGTAGTCTTCGGGGTGCTGAGTCGAATGGTCGTGGTCCGAGGAAGCTGAGACGCTCCCTTCCTACTTGAATCCCAATCGAACTCGCGCACTTCCACCGAAACTGGGTGACTGCGCCCTACTAGATGGGGATTTGTATGCAAAATGTCACTAAAAGCGCCATTTCGTTCTTATAAAAGCACGGATGACCGCGATTGGCCCATATGTTGTAGTCTTTTGGACGCTGAGTCGACTGGTTTTGGTCCGAAAAGGCTGCGATGCGGCGTTCCTCCTTTATTCCCAATCGAACATGGTTGAACAAGCGGTCACGTGCTCCTGCGTACACCAGTCACCTGGTCACCGTGCCTGCAGGGTACAACTTACTAGCCTGTTTGACCTTTTTTGGGTGCAGTCCTGTCACTCGAGTTGAACTCGAGTTGAACCTTGGTGTGAAAGTTGTCACCTGCTGGCGTGGTGACCAGGTGATTTGGGCACCCAGGACCACGTGACCGCTTCTTCAACCATGTTCGATTAGGAATAAAGGAGGAACGCTGCATCGCAGCCTTTTCGGACCAAAACCAGTCGACTCAGCGTCCTAAAGGCTACAACATATGGGTCAATCGCGGTCATCCGTGCTTTTATAAGAACGAAATGGCGCTTTTAGTGACATTTTGCATACAAATCCCCATCTAGTAGGGCGCAGTCACCCAGTTTCGGTGGAAGTGCGCGAGTTCGATTGGGATTCAAGTAGGAAGGGAGCGTCTCAGCTTCCTCGGACCAAGACCATTCGACTCAGCACCCCGAAGACTACAACTGGTGAAATTTTAATTTTTGCCTTAACTTCCCCTTTAAGGGCCGCCTGGACATTGCGTAGTAACTGTGAAGAGTTCTGCTGAGCGGGAAAAGATACTGGACGCAGGAATCCGGATTTCCGGTAAGCAGGTGCTCTGCGAGATTTCCGGGGTGGACTTAACCCATCTGCATGTGTTTGGGTGCCCTGTCGGGCTTCAAAACAGTAAATTGTGTGCTGCGCTGGGCCGAATTGTTGGGTCGCCTCAACAGAAAAAAGTACTTCGAAGTATTGTTTGAGGGATTGGAAATATGTACTGGCACCCGTGTTCTCAGCCTGGTCCTCCGATCACCAGTTCCATCTACGGTTACCGTAGGTCAGTTGAAACTGCGAGTATGGCACCGGTGCACCGTGGCCAACAGCAAACATGTTGGCGCTGCAACAACAGTGGCCACGAGGCTAAAGCATGTCCCAACCGTGGGGCACATGCACAGTCTACAGCTTCCCGGCCTCCACAAACGCAGCACCGCAACACAACCGGTAGGAGTACAAACCCTCCCAGCGTCAGTACAGCCACTAATACGGGTACGGTGACTATCCAGCCCGCAGAAGCCGCTGTAGAGCCAGCTGTCGTCAGTGTGGAGACAGGTGCAGCTAGCAACACAGGGCTGAACACTGCCTCAGTCAACAGCTATCGCCAGGCACTTTTAGCCAATGGGACCAGCGCTGGCACCACTGATACCAGTAACCATGTGCCGGCTTTCAGCCAATCTGGAGACAAAGAAAAGAGCAGCGGGACAACCCCCTCTCCTGATGACGATGGCTTCAGACTTGCAGCAGGCAAACACACCTTCTCCGCCACTGTCCTTTCGGGACGCACTGAGCCACCTGCCTCTGCCTTGAACGACCCGCAAATTGCGTGGGCTCAGGAGTGTTCAAACCGTGAGCGCAAGAAGCTGGCAGAGAGAGTTGAAGCTGCCCGCAGAGGAAGCCACTAGCGCAATGAAGGTAATTACGGTCCGTCAGTGTTAACTATGAGCAGTATTTGTTACCTTTCTTTCTTTTAATACTTACTGCACTTGCTCTTAATCCCCGTGCTGATCCCTTTTTGCCTCGTGCTGCTATGCAGCCTCCCGCTTCCCTTTTTCCGGTGAGCACCCAGGACACCCAGGACACCCGAACTATTAAGCTAGGTTTTTTGAATGTCTGTAGCTTGCGCTACAAAGTAGATGAAGTAACAGCACTCCTCCAGGTGCAGGACTTTGATATTTTTGGATTGGCTGAAACCTGGCTAGACAGCACTATTGGTGACGGAGAAGTAGCCATTCCTGGATACAACCTCACAAGGACAGACAGCGTGGGTAGACGAGGAGGAGGTACGTGTATATATTACAAATCTTCTTTGCCAATCCGACCTTGTCCCGAACTGTCTTTGAACGGCCTAGAAGCTGTCTGGATATCGATCAAAGGCGGCCAGGGTCAACATGCAGTGGCCTGCGTCTACCGAGCTCCAGACGTGGGGATTGACTACTGGAAGGACCTTGAAGAGTCACTGCAGCGGGCCCAAGCGCAAGCGCCACACATGACCATTATTGGCGATCTCAACGTCAACATGACAACTCACAGCCACCATCGTACACACCTGCAAGACCTCAGCAATATGTTTGGCATCTCGAATTTGGTGAAGTCTCCCACACGGCCGACTCCAAGTGGGAATCTTGGTTCAGTAATCGACCTCGTCCTAGCAGACCATAACTTTGTCTCGAGTTGCGTTGTCATGGAATGTTCGATCAGCGACCACCACGCGGTGATGGCAAACCTCCATATCGCCATGCCCACAACTAGTCCAGGTAGGCAACGCCAAAAGCGTCGCCACTTACGCAACATTGATATCGACCAGTTCCGGTGTGACCTCGCCGAAGCACTCAGCGCTAATCCTACATCCGCCCGCATGGATGTTGACGACATGTGGACGGCTTTCTATGAAGGGTTCAAAACAGTTCTAGACATACATGCACCCATCATGCTCTCGTCAAGACGCCAGAGAGCTGCTGCGAGATTACCTTGGCTCGACAAGGATACGTACCAACTCACGCAAAAGAAAAACAGATTACACAAGCGCTGGCTAGGAGATAGAGGAAATGACATCCTACTCTCCCGGTATAAAACAGCCCGGTCTCAGGCATCCAACGCAATCCGCAAGAAAAGAAACGCTTTTTTCACCAGACAATGTGAGCAGCACTCTCATGATCCAAGGAGAATGTGGTCAACCTTGAACGCGGTAACCGGCCGCTCCAAGGCAAGGCAGGACCCAGTGTGCGACGTTTCTGCGGTGAGCAGCTCCTTCAATAGTATTGTCACTGATCCAAGTCGTCCGGACACCCTACAGATACCCCATGGTCCCTGCACCCGCACCTCACTATCAGCTCTCACGCCAACGACCTGTCCCGCAGTACAGCGATTACTCGCCACAATCGATCCTGACAAGGCTACAGGCAGTGACGAGATCCCTGGCCGTCTGCTGCGAGCCTGCAGTGATATTGTTGCCCCGCACTTATGCGACCTCTTCAATGCCTCCTTGCATTCCGGTCGCCTACCGAAGCCGTTCAAACACGCCCTGGTAAAGCCGCTTTACAAAGCAGGGGACCCAACAGTCGCCACTAACTACAGACCTGTGCCATTATTACCAATTGTTGCGAAGCTGCTTGAAAAGGTAGTACATCGCCAGCTTACAAGGTTCCTCGCGGCAAACGACGTGCTGCCGACCACGCAATTTGCATACCGCACAAACCACTGCACTGAAGACGCTTTGGTACTCCTGACGGAGAACATTCTCCATGCAAAGGACGCGCGACTAGCCAGTGGTGTGTGTTTGCTGGACATGTCGAAGGCTTTCGACAAAGTCAAGCATGACATTCTTGTACGCGATCTTTTCGAAGTTGGCCTTCACGGCACTGCACTCC